GTATTGCTAAATATATTAATACACTAGTACTATTTAGGTTCAAAGTCCCGAGAGATGCCATGGATATTTGTAGTGATTCTGATTCCACTGCAAGCCATATGTCCCATTCTAATATGACTGTTGGGCAGGAATGACAACTGAAACCCGTAAAAAATCATCTAATGTTTCGGGAACCCTTTGTCCGATATATATATATATATGTAGCCAACGGCCGTACCATGCTAATATATATACCGATTCTCGTTCGATCACCGAAGTCAAAGCATCATTGGGCGCGGTCAGTACTTGGGTGGGTGACCACCTGGGGAACACTGCGTGCCGTTGGCAAATTTTGGGACCTGAATGGCCGAGTGTCTAGCGCTCTGGCGCTCGGTGCCACAGGTTTCGGTTTGAATCCGGCGGTGCCATGGATGTTTGTAGTGGTTCGGAATCCACTTTAAGCCGGAGTCCCGGTCTCCCTATGACTGTAAAGAGCGTCACGGAATCAAAGTCAGGCTTCTACCTACGGGTGCTCCATCACAACAGAAGCTGCTTCCTTCCCCTTCAACCATGAGTACGTCTGGGCTCGTGGGCTTGGCCAACCAAGTGGGATAAGAAACAACAACAACAACATATATATATGTGTGTGTGTGTTCCAACAGATAGACCAATTACTTTTATAGCCGCAATTAATGCATTTATAGTAATACAAAAGTATTATATAGAAAATGAAACATTTTATTTGTTTGCTTATTCTCTTATTATTAAAACTTTCTATTGAAGTTGCTCAAAAGTGCTATCACTAACAGTATTACATGTTTGTAAAAGTTAAAAGGAATAATTAGCAAGCTCATTTTGAAAATACTATACAATATACTTTCAATTAGCTAGCGCGCTCTGGCCTTTTGTACCACAGGTTTTTCAGGTCGAATCCTGGCGGTGGCATGGATGCTTGTGAGTGGTTCGGAATCCACACGCTAAACTGTAGGTCCCAGTCTGATTAGCTAAAAGTGCGCAAAAAATGACTTTAGAGTGACAAACCAAACCAAATCACAACATGATCAACAAATCACACCTTGATTGGAAACGTCTTGCTACGAAATAGTTACTTTATTGAATTCCTGTATTCGAGCTTTTATATTCTTGTATACAAAAGAATTTAGTGCTTAATATAATGAGAGATCAGTGACCCCCTTCCCCAACTATTTGGCAATGGATCTCATCGAGTCCAGTAAAACATCCCACAATGATATGCAAATGAGTTGGAGATTTTATCTGATAAGATTACAATCAATTAAGAACGGAATAATTTGAAGGAATTTTTGTAAGGCTCACTTACATAAAACGGTTGAAGATATAGGTCAGCAGAAAACTGTTTCAAAAACTTTTTAGAGTATTTATTCTGGAAAAAAAAAATGTGTGGCTTTATATAAATTTTGCTCAAAACTTGTACATACGGGTAAATAATTTAAGCATAGTCAATGCAATTATATGCAAAATTAAATGTATAGTATATTTGACAATCACTTTTCACGATAGTATCGTTTTTATTAAAACCAAACAGATATGTAAAATTAATTTACAAAATTAGAGCATGCAATAATATGTATGGATCCTGATGGCTGAATGATTAGTGCTCTGGTACTCGATATCACATGTTTCGGATTCGAGTCCCGGTGGTACCATAGATATTTGTAGTGGTTCAAAACCCACTTTAAGCCGTAGGTCCCGGTCTAATAGGATCGTAGAGCGTTGTGGGGTAGTGTTACTTGCGTCCGTAGTCTATCTTCAAACTGCATGTGCCCCTGGGTAATGCTAAATAAGTAACAGCGGTGCAGCTCTAGCTTATGATATAATGATAACTGTCTATATTGCCAGCTGCATTAGAAATTTTTTTTTTATTTCAGTGCAGTCCAAAAAGTGTGTTTACAAATTGAAATTTTCGGTGAATTCATGACATGCCTTCTTCAAGGCTAGTTTGTAATGGACTTCTCTAAGGGAAATGATCAGGTCTCAATGTAATATGACTGTAGAGCGTTGATCTAGGGTTGACACTCCTACCTAACAAGAAAACATTTCATGTTTCGGAATCTGCTAGTAGGCAGACGGCTTCTGCCCACCATGGGGATGCTGCGCTATTGAAGAAGAAGAATTAACATTTATGATTGGATAAATTGGGCAATTAAAGTTTATGCCTACACACAATTAGGTTCTAGGTTGAAGTGGCCTAATAGAAAGTGCATTCCCAATTGAGTAGCATAGATTGAAAACGTTAAAAGATACCAAATCAAAAGTTTTTGTGCCTTTCCTGAAGATTTTTTTTAATTGAAGTTTATAAGAATCCTCGCGTACCACAAAGTATCACACGAGGATTACAGAAGTAGCAAACAATTCAATTATAAAATAAAAAGAGGATCAAATAAATGGTAAATTTAAAAAAAATACAAATGGCATTAAATATAAATAAAATAAAAGATAATTGGAGAAGGGTTTTTTAGAAACATCAAAATAAGAATTACCAAATTTACAATACTCTGTAAAAGCAGGATTCTTATTAACAAATTGACAAAAGTTTAGTGGATATTTGACTTTTTGTAATGCTACTACTTTCCTTAAAATTTTTCTAGGATGTTCAAGTCTAGAGCAACTAAAAACAAATGTGGTGGATATTATGTACTCCACCTGCATCGTAATTGCGAAGATCAGACATAAAACATCAGACATGCGAAGAACAGAAGACATAATTTAAGTCTGTTTGTTAAGGAATTCAAATTGCCGTGTCTAGTCATGAATTGAAAGATTCTGGAATTAATGAAGAAATGATGAGCGCTAAGCCTTTGAGGAAAAGAACTTCCTCGTGTTGTTGTTCTAATTAAAGTAATATTCATGACTAGCTGCGTAAAAAATAATTATAAGAAATGTTTGCTATGTCATGGAACTCGTTTCTAGTGTCGGCCTGATGGCCAATTGTCTAGCTCTCTGGCCTTTGGTACCACAGGTACTCTAGGAACATAGAATCTGCGGCACACTTTCAGTTGCATGATCAAAAAATGGCCTCTGGTCAAAAATGCTGAAATATTGGAAAGCAATAACTAGCAATTGGAAAGCAATTTCTGAAAGTAGACAGACTCAATGGAAATGTTCTTAACTTTGTAACTGTCATAGATAGGTAGTCCTCATGTACTGAATTATTATCATAGAAACCGTAAGCTAGTCACTCATAAAGCAATTATTGCTTACGTGTAAATACAAAGGAAAGAAAGATCGCCGACTATGAAATGGGCATACTCACTAATAGATTCCTTTAAATTTTTAACTAGAAATTTAAACTGATGAGATCATTTAAAAATAAAGTGATTTATAAAGTACGGTTCTTAAGTTTTTGCAATAAAATTATCGAATTTTAAGAGAAATGTTTGCCAGGATTAGGACATCATTATATTAAAATGATGCAAAATTTTCTGAGCTTTTATGAGATACGGATTATTTTAATAAAACAAACGCTATATTATCCTTTTTTTTCAAATTCTCTTTTTCAGTTTCCGTAACTTTTAGTGAAAGTTTTTTAACGTTTTTTTCACCAATTTTTGTTGTTTTATTCTTTAAAGATGGAAATTTTAAATTGAAAGACTTAAAGAAGTAAATCTATCTATCTATATGTATAAAAATACTGCAATTGAGAGTTACACAGAAATAATTATAAGTTACATAATTTTACCTGGGATAAATTTTATAAATTTACCGAGCGGCTGGCGCTCTGGACCTCAATACCACAGGCTTCAGGTCCGAGTCCCGGTGGTGCCATGGATGTTTGTAATGATTCGGAATCCATTTTAACCCGTAGGTCTCGGTATAAGAGAATAGTAGAGCGTTGTGGAGGAAGTGTTACTCGAGTCCGTAGCATATCTTTAAGCCACCTGGTAGTGCTAAGCGAATAACAGCGGTGCAGCTCTTGCTTATGGCTTAAACGACAACTGTCTCTGTATTGCCAACTGCATTAGATAAACCATAAGTATACCTATTTTCTAAATTGTACTGAAGACTTTAAAAATAAAATAAAATTATGAAAATTAAATAACATTTCATAGATTCATTAAGAAATCCAACAAAATCAGTACAACTCGAAAAGAAATTGTTTATGCGAATGCTTTTGAGGCCTAAAATCCATGTTTTTCAACATTTTTTTAAATCAGATTTAAAATATTATTTACATAGATTAAATAATATAGTGCATGTTTTTTTTAAAGAAAATAATTCATTTTAGCCTGTTTAATAAGAAAATGTCTCTTGTTTTGTAGAAGCATACTTCTATATCATACTTCTTCATATACATATTGATTTTAATATTTACTGTAAAGGGGCCTGAATGGCCGAGTGGCTAGCGCCCTGGCGCTCGGTACCACAGGTTTCGGGTTCGAGTCTCGGCGGTGCCATGGCTGTTTGTAGTGGTTCGGATTCCACTTTAAAAAGTAGGTTCCGGGGCTAATAGGACCGTAGAGAGTTGCGGGGGCATTGTTACTCCGCGTCCGTGGCTTATCTTCAAGTTACACGCGCCCCCTGGGTAATGCAAAGTGAGTACGTCTGTGCAGCACTTGCCTTAAGGCATCCAAAGACCAAACTGTCTGTGTTTGCCAGCTGCATTAGAAAGAAAAAAAAATATTTACTGTAAAATCGAAATCAGCTTAATTTTATGTCTTTTACATGAAATACTTATTGACGCGTACTTAAATAAAATATGTATTTAAATAAATATATTAATTATAAAATGGGCATGATAGCCGAGAGACTAGTGCTCTGTGCCACAGGTTTCGGGTTTTGAGTCCCAGCGATGCTATGGATGTTTGTAGTGGTTTGGAATTCACTTTAACCCGTAGGTCGTGGTCTAATATGACTGTAAAACGTTGGATATAGAGTTGACAACCCTATCCTGTAAAAAGAAAACATCTTCCAGTAGGCAGACGACCATGGCTCAACATGACCTGTAGTGCTAGGAAGTTAATTAGTTATTAATTATAAAATATATAATTATAACAAAAAAATTAAAGAAATATTTTACATGTTATTATAATAATATTATATTATAATAAATGTTACTATTATTAATAATTATTATCATATTGTTATTACAATAAATAATATATTTTACCTATTAATAATATAATAAAAATAATATATTATTTATAATATACTTATAATATATTTAACGAATGTAATAAATACATGTTTTATTAAACATAAAACATATATTTTTATATGTGTTGATACTCTCTACAAACATGAGTATCAACAAAAATTGAAATTGAGAGATTGAAATGAATTGAAAGCGAACTTTGTGCTTTTTAAA